TAGCACAAAAAGAAGGAAATTCCCATATATTGTGACATACAAGCACCAGTAGATCTGGCGTAGGATATCTGTATCTTTGCAATAAAGTATGGTGACATTTTGCCATTTTTATATTATCTAGCTACATATGTGAATTAATGGATATCTTAAAGGGGGAAAAAATGGTGAATGATTACTTTTGTAGAACAAGCTGTACTTCTAGGACAGGGTTCTTAGTTTGAATTAGTAACTTTTTGAGTTTCTTGTTTTTTCAATAGGTCAGTTTTCCTAGTCTTGTTCCCTCAAACTGGGAACCATGTCACAACTATTTAATAAATTTGCCGGTGTGTCAAAGTAATTTTTCAGAGATGACTGAAAATGGAAATGAAGTCAATGAGGTTACAACAGCACTGAATTTGTCTCAAGGCAATAGTAGGGAAATATTTCCAGAAATAGAACCTTATCTGTGATGCTTTTACTCTGGTTAAATCTACCAGAAGAATAGTTTGCTCTACTACTTGGCTCTGAAGGCTGAGTTTCTCTTAGGCCTATCAGTTTGATCCTATGAAGTAAAAAGTTTCCTGAATTAAGTAATGGAGGCAGGTATTAAGGTACTAATGAGACTTTATCATGCAAAGGAAAAGACATTAAATCTTCATTGTTGAAATAATAAGCAAATACTTAAGTGCATGGTGTTAGATGAATCACCCTCTTAATATGAAAGCAATGGAAGTCCCGGCTGAGAAAAATAATTTTTAAATGTGTAGTATCAGAAAAATGCTGTTCCAAGCACCCCTTTCCTTTTATGACTATGTAATGTTTTTCTTCCTTTAGGAGTGAAATTGAACAAATAAATATGATTTTCTTTCTTGTCAACCTGTTGACTATGTTTAATCGTATTATGTAAATCCTCTTTAAAAGCTTCAAATAATTTTTGAGTCTTATAATGTGTGATGTTGTTCAGATAAAAAATCAGTCTGTTTGTAGATCAAAGTAGTTATGTGTGAACCCTAATGAAAATTAACAGTGCTGTTCATTTTAAATATAATCCTAACACACATCCACCTCTCTTCCCAGGACCCTCATCAGTTCTCACTTTTTCCATTCAGGGAAGCTTCTTCTGCTGCAAACCGAATTGCTCAGCCTTTCTACTAGTAGTGCTAGATAATACTTTGCTGACATTACAAGACTAGTTTCCATTACACATTTCAGTCTGCTTTCAGAAGAGGTTCTTAACATTGAAAAAAATAATTCTAAATGCAAATGCTCTACAGAATCTAACATAGACTAATGCAAAAGTCAAGGATCACATGTGTTGTCAGCTGTGATGGGCCGATGCAACAATATCTGTGGCATTACTTGACATTTATGCCACTCCAAAGTAGAGCAAGATTTCTTCTATAGCTAATGCTAGAAAACATGACTGTTCTTCATGTCTGTAGTAAAGAAGTAGTAACATAACTGAGTTACGAGAAGTTAACTCTAACTGATGGTTTTTTTCTGTGAATGTAGTACAATAATTTATTACCTAACTATATGTATAGTTTTAGAAAACATGGTTAGAATGCAAACAAGTTACTGTGGAATGGTTTTTGAAGTATAAATAGTCCTTCACTTTCAACTTCCATTACTTAACTCTATATTAAAGCAAATTTACTGCTTTTTCAGTGTAATTTTATAAGTTTTGAATGAAATTAAATTAATGCCACATTATTTTATGGCTAAGGCAGGGGATTTTCTCATCCCAGATGTATTTTCAAATAGCTAACACAGTGTTCAAAGTACTCAAACCACAGAAAATATGCTAACAGTTACACTTGTTAATAGATCTTAAGACCATGTAAACAGTGGCTTAGATCAGCTCTGTTGCCCAGCCACTTCCCTCTTATTCCATCTGGTGTGCCACCTTTTTCTGGTAAACCTTGGAAGGACATTTTGAGTCTGTCTGACATTTTGATACCTGTCTGAGTTGTAGTCAGTTGCTTTTACCCATGTGTGTGAGTATAGCTTTGTTGGAGGTGGCAGTTCTGTCTTCTGCTGCCTTTTGGGGTCAGGGCACGGAGGAGGAAGCCTGTCACCCCCACAGGCAGCTCCTGGCAGGACTTGGGGGCTGGCACTGTCATTACAGGTTCTGATGGGGGGGGCTGTACAAACTAGACACCACCTTGCATAGCTGCAACTGCTGAAATACACTCATTAGATTTTAGGTCTACAAAATAGGTACTGTCAGTCTTCTGGCACTTGCTAGCCAAAGGCTAAATTTCATGCAATTCTTAAGGGGGGAAAAAGAAACAAAACAAAACAAACAAAAAACCCCAAAACCAACCAAAAAAACCCAACCAGACCCACTCAGAATATATTTTATACATAATATAATATAGTTTAAATACACAGATGATTAAGAATTGAATAGTAGTATTGAGCTGGAATTACTACAACTGCTCAGAATAAGGAATGCTGTACTGTCCCACTGTTACATATCTATAAAAAATCTGTTTTATTGGAAGTATCTATTAGTGATTTGGTCTTCTTATGCCTAATGAAGGGTGTACATGGCAGATATGTTAGAACTGCTGAGCGTTAGCATATCCAGAATGCTTACACTGTGCTTGATTGTGTTTGTTTTAGTTTTCCTACTGATATTTCCCTGATAGCTCCAAAACTTTTAGTTATTGCAAGAAGCATGTATATTGGTATGAATACTATTGCCTGGAATACTAGACCAGTTCCAGGAAAGAGATCTGCTTGGAGCAGCCATTCCAGATTTCCTTATACCCTGTACTCAGGGTTGCAATCTTTGGCTGCTAATGGAATGATCATTGTGATCTGGTTCCATCAGAGGACTGAGGTGATGAGATGCTCTGTTGCAATTTAAGTGAGGTGTGAAAGCAAAAAGGAACATTGGTCTGTTCTGGATGTGTGCACAGAGTAAAGCAGAAAGTCTCACTGATCTGATTTATCTACTTGTACTTACTCTTGACCAGTGGCAGGCACTGTGCTAGAAGAGTAAAAGCCACATCAAATAATAGTTTATTTTATTTTTTTATATACATCTTAATTTGATATATGTTGTAAATTGAAGTAATCACTGTAACTGATAAACAACTATTAATGTGTTCATGTTACACAGAACCAACAGATGCAGATGTAGATAACATATCACGCCACTCTAGAACAGTGTTTCATAAATGTACAGGGGAAAACAAACCATTTCTGAAAGAGAAAGTGGTGCTAATAGTACTACATATGATATTAATAGTATTGCTTAAAATTCTGATGCAAATAAATTAACTATTAAGTTCAAAGAAATAAAAATGAGGACAGAATTTGTATTGCAGCACACTGGCAAGATTCAAATGCTACTGCACACATTTTGTTGGGAATGTTATGTTTTTGATAATCAGGAATGTTTTTACATGATATGGAGTGAGTATTCTCTAAGACCTCACCTTACTACAAAATCTGTTTGATAATCTTTATGTTTAACAGTTCAGTACAGAGATTTTAGTTTAATCTGTATTATGAATATTCTGTGTGAATACTACTGACTGTAGTTCTACCACAGTAGGCAAAATTGTGAGACATAAAAATGGTTCAATGTCTGATAGCTAAAAGATGTGACTTTCTTCTTACCTCTGCTTTCAAATATGGACACAAACAACTTTTATGAATTCAGAAATAAGATTTTTAGTAAGTACTCATAAACTAATTGATCAGAACATTTCTAAGTTATCAAAAATCTGATTAATTTATCATAATATCTGATTATTTAATTCACAAAATGGGATGTAGATTAGATTACTAATTATATTTATATTTCCCAATTTTCCTGTCCTTTTCATCCTTCATGGTACACTCATGGTGATTGCTGTATGCAAATTCCTGGCACAGCTGCACTGAAGGTGATTCAGAGTTTTCTCACTGGCCTAAGTAATAACTTCATCAGGCCTGCACCATCTCAGGTCTTCTCTTCATCACATTGAAGGAGTGAGCAGCCATTTACCATAACAGTGATCCTCTAGAACTGATGTGAGGCTTCTTGTATGTCTGTGCTGGTGCTAGCCCTGCCCTACATTTATATGTATTTGCATTTACATTTACACTAGATATATAAATTCTCAGAAGCTGATTTTGTATTATTTTCACAAGTACTACATGACTTTCAGGGGAAATTTTGAAAAAAAAAAAAACTGTTCATTGAAACATGAAAAAATTATAATCTTAGAATCATCTAGGTTGGAAAAGACCTTTAATATTATTGCGTCCAAATGTAATTGACAGAATTTCTTTTTCATGAAATGTTCAATGTGACCATTTTAAAAATTCCTTTCATTTTAGGAGATTTTAAGTTCTGGAGGTTAGTGTTTTCTTAAGTAACTCCTTACTAAATACCAGACTGGAATAGATGTCAGAAAGGCTCCCTTTCTGGTCAATACCTTTCTGGTCAGTACAACTAAAGATGTGTGGAAAAGGTGGTGTCCTTGCTGAACAATATAGTCTAAGAAACACTAATAAATCCAGTTAAATTACTGCACACAGCATAGAATTAACCTTAAACTGGTCCTTCAGAGAAGATTTTTTCACAAATAACATCGTTGTTGGATTTGCATTTACTCTTGAGGTTTTAACAATTGATGCACATTTAATTTATAGTAACAAGTTGTGAATTGTTTGGTGGGAGATGAAGACTTGCCAGATTTGGTAAACTGTGTCATTCAGGTTATCTTTACACATATACTCGCCTTTACTATCATAGTTTCATTCTCTTAAGGGCATGATATAGCCATATCCGAAGACTCCAACTGATGCAGCATGGAAGTATTAGAGTCCATAATGTGTGAAATGCTTGAACATGCAATCATATAAATGTGGTTTACTCCAAAGTAATACGAGTATTCAATTAGATTACGTGCAATGCTGCAAATGGTGCTAATAGTCTTGCGTGTTTCCCCTGTACTTCTTCTCCATCACCCTTTATTGCTGTATCTTCTGAATTCTCCCTTCATTTTCTTTCAACAAAGGCAAGTATGCCATGAGGGATCTGGTCCACCGACTGCCAGGCGCTAACAACAGCAACAGCTCAGCAAGCAAGGCCATGTCTGATGACACCGTTACTGCCATTTGCTGCACTCTGCATGAAGTCATCACTAAAAACATGGAGAATGCCAAGGCCTTACGAGACGCAGGCGGCATTGAGAAACTGGTTGGCATATCTAAGAGTAAAGGAGACAAGTATGTTTTGCAAATCACCTTGCACCTTTTTAACTTCTCCAGTAGTTATTTCTAGTCCTGAATGTGTTTGCCTTCTCTGTGCAATCATGAGTTGAATTCTTTAGTTTCACCAGAAGTCGTATGCCCAGTGTGAAAGGTGACGAGAAACAGACAATGCCAGTACCAAAAGTCTCCCTCTGCTTTGGTTTGTTTTTGATGTACCATCAACAGTGCGGGGAGTGCACTCCATGTGCATTTTAAGGAAGAGTAATTATCTACAGTAACCACTACCTCTGAGCAATTCCAGAAGATCCTGATAAACATTAGGGACAAGAGTAGTTGGATTGTACCCTGAAGAAGGGGTGACTGCTCCTCTTGCTCTAGGAGTGAAGAATGTAAAGTCACTGTCCCTCTTCACAGCAGCCTTTCCCCTGCCACCAGCTTGCTGGTAAGGCGGGGCACAGTAGAAAAACAGATCCATGGGTTTTCCTAGCTACTTGTTTCCAAGAGAGCATTAGGCTGCTTTGTGAGGCAAAAAAAGTCTTGCACACAACTGTGGCATTTTCAGAACAGCTATGGTTTCATCTTGTCTGTTTGCCTATGTACACACTCTTCATGAAGAGTTCACTCTTTATCCTTCTTTTGCCTAAAACAGATAGCCTGGTTCTCATATTTGTCAACCTGCTGAAGTATAGTGCAATGGGACTATGGCAGTTTGAAAACAAAAAGCCTTCACTGTAGTGTACAAAACCCATCAGTCCACCTGCTTGAAGCTGTCATCACACAGCCTACTGCAGCATCAGAGCTCTAAAAGAGCCCCACAAAGCCAGGCACAACCCGAAGGAAAGATTTATGCACCCTACATTTGGTATGAGAACTTATGCTCGCCTATGTGATTGGAGCATTGCCAATATAATTTAATCACATTTCTTTTCCTCTATTGTCACCCTTTTCCTTTCATACCAAATTCATTATTGAAACATTCTTACATTCTAATTATAAGGGGTAAAAAGTAGTAGCATGACCAAGTATGTGATTCCTGTTCTGAAAACTCCCCATGCTCTGCCAATTTATTTACAATTGCATTTTGTTATTATTAAATCTATTTAAATTTATATTTTCTAGATCAAATTTACTGATATTGCAAGTAGGTTCATATCCATTTCACTTAAGCCAAATGTGTCTTTCCTCAGAATAATGCATTTGTCCACCTGTTCATTATCTGATAGAGATTATTAATGCCTGTTGAGTTTGAAATTTTCAAAGTATCATGGGCAGTTTTAGGAGGATCCAAGGGTATAATTCCCTGTTTAAATACTCCTCATGACTGTGAGGAGAAATACATCTATTTCTAATTAATATATTTAGCCCAGGTAATATTGAGTAATTCCAAAATGCCCTTCCAAATCATGATATGTATGAGATGCAGTCATGTGTTATAATTGCAGCAGGTTACACAGTTCTAGAAAAGAAAACCTGTCAACATACAGTGCTATAAATGCCCATCTTAAGTAAAAGTTCCATTTTTCAGCTTTCAGAAATGTTAGTACTGTGCGCTGTTGGTTTGGTTTTGTTTCTTACATGTAATTGATTGTTTAAAAATCAAAATTGCTGGTTGTTGGATAAAGTTCTGGCATACTCACTTTGATACAGTAAAACACTTCAGTATGAATTCATCTTGTCCAGTATAAAGCACGTGCTTCTACAAGTGCAGGATACTAGACTGGCCATGCACCCTGGTACATATCAGTACCAGGAGTGTGAGGCTGGCCCCACTAGCCTTTGGAATATGCCCAGGGCTTGAACGCTTTCCCTGTATGACCACACAAAAGAACTTATGTTCATAAGCTCATGTTGACCAAGCCCATATCAGCTTTGCATAGTTCCTCTCTCTCCTCAGTACTCATGCGGTGGTTGGCACAGTTATTTTGCTCGTTACTCCATGCTACCAGCACCCCACCAGCCAGTACAGCTGGAAGTATAATAAAAACAATTATGCTTGAAAGGGTTTATCAAAGTCCTGTTTATTTACCAGTTACCCACCTACAGCTGTACTCTGGGTGAAAAGTGGAATAAAAGTGGGAAAAAACACACCAAATAAATTACTAGGAAAATACTATATAAGTTAATTGAATCAGTTGTGTCATGAACATTGCTTTACCAGTTTGACTGTCAGCCTGCCAGTGATCCTTCTCAGAATTCACAGAATGAACCAAAGTGTGACCCCTGAGAAGACTTCTGCCCAAAGCAGTAACTTATGTTGCTGGTTTTCTGATTTCTCTTTGGTTTTGCAATCTATATGCCTCTTTTGAGTAAAACACAAATCACCTCAATGACTGCCCCAAACTCTATCAATCTTCATTCTGGACTTTGGCCTTTGCAAGGTTTTCTAGTGTTTTACATCTTTTTGGTCTAGCACAGTGTGCTGGGTTATCTCAGTGGGCTGGAGATTATCTTCCTGGTACGTTCCTCTTTGACCTTTCTTCACTGAGATGAATGCTGTCTGATATATATTTTTTTTAGATTTTTTTAATTACCTATTTCAAGAGGAATGTATGGCTCCAACGGATTGTAACAATAGTTTAGATCTTCTTTCAAAACCTATCAGAAGAGAAAGCCCATGTGAAGTTATATGCTTTTCAACATGACATTGTATTGTCATCATTAAAGGGTAATGATGTGAGCAACATCCAAATCCTCATTTGGATTCCTAATGAAATTTATCATGACTTTTTATTTTTAGTTCTGTTTCTGCATCTTGGCTCTGCACTTGAAATCCAGTGCTCATCACCCAACTAGAGTGTTTCTTTTGGCCACTGCTTAGAGGAAGTTAATGAGTTGAGCACACTGTCAAGAGCTGAAGTTTGGAACCTTACAGAGAAATAAACTATAGCTCTGACTCCTTGTCCTTTATGCCAAAAGTTGTAGCCAGGACATCTTAGATGTATATAATGCCAGTTGGGTTCTCAACAATTTTGGCAATTGCTACTTCCCATTCCTCTTACCATGCATTCAGCGTGAATCCCTGTATTTACTGAGTTGCACATGTTTTGCTCCTCACTGAACGATTAGTACTATAGAAATAATATATATTGCTCTTGCTTAAAAACACATTGGTCTCCAAGATGCCAACCAAAGATCTTATGGTATACTTGAAACACACTTTAATTGTGGGTTTAAATCCATAGCAATGCATTTGAAAATTGGGATGAATGGTGTCTTGTATTTAACAGTCTCTTTCTCACTCTTTCTTTCTCTCTCCCTTTTTAATATATGTGTGTAACAGGCATTCGCCTAAAGTGGTGAAAGCAGCATCTCAGGTCCTCAATAGTATGTGGCAGTACAGAGACCTGAGAAGTCTCTACAAGAAGGTAAGGCTTGGTATTTTCTGGATTTACCATCTTTCATACTGTTACCCAAATTTGGGGGCTGAGAGACTTCAGACCAAAACATTTGTTTATGTGACTGGAAATCCACTTGGAGTTTAAAGTTTCAGATACTTGGAGGTATTAGTTTTTCCTTCATTTCTACTTTTAACATAGAAATGACCTTTGAAAATATGTGTGGTGGTAAAAATGGGGTGTGAATTTGATTTTAAAATAAGTTCATAGAAGAAGTGCTGGATCTGGCAGCCCTGGAGAGTGAAATCCGCTGCTCATAGAACAAACCTGTCTATGCGAGCTCTATTACTGGGCCAGTCCTTCTTACACCTCCCAACCCTGTTCTGAGGAGATTACTAGATTTCCAGCCCTTCAGCTCCCAAATTTCCTCATGAGATTGTAAACAAGAGTATCTGAAGGAGTGGTGCTTAGGGAGCAGTTGTATGTGGAGCTGGGCTGAAACCTGGTAGCTTCACTTCTGATCAGCTGTCAGACAGTAGCCTTATATACTTGGTTTTCAGACAGTCTGTGAAGTCCATAGTACAATGTCATTTCCACAGGCCTGCTAACCTCTTAAAAATGAATTGCAATAGGGTAATACAATACCATGGAACAACATCCTATATAGCTTTTTAAACATAACTGTCTACTTAGTAAATGACAACATTTAAAGTAATTCTTGGTGTATATTTCCAAGCTGAATTGCATTCCATGTGAGTATCAGTCTGCAGATTTTGTTCTCCAATGTCTTCTTGCTTGGAATTTCACAGCTTGTCTAATTGATGTTTGTATTTGTAATCTCATCAAAGAGAGCTAAGACTTCTTGTGGCAGAAAAGTTCAGGTCCTAGTTAAGGCTGAGGCATAACAATGGTGAAGTAGGGAGGGTTCACAGTGGCGTAGTCTGTGTTGTACGTATTCTGCACGAGAAAATAACTTAGTTACATGAAATGTGCAGTGAATCTCAAACTGGCAGAAGCTGACCTTCTGTTTGAAATACTGTTCTTTTGCATGCCTCAGCCCTGCTTGTGTCAAGTCTGAGGAGTGAGGAAGATGATTATTGAGTGTCTCCCATTGTTCACTTCCAGTATTTTCAGTCATCCTTAGCAGCCCTAGGGATACCATATGTGAAGACATTCCAACTAACAAGCTGGTACTCAACTGTCCCATTAAGAGGTGGGAACAAACACGAGCTAGAGTAGGCTTTTCTTGATGCAAGGCAGTAACACACTGGAAGTGTGCATAGCCTGACTTCTGTGCATGTGGGTGGCTGCACTGTAGAGGCTGAACTGTATTGCACCATAATCTCTTAGAGGTTCTTACAATGTCTGGCTCATTTCCAACCTTCTGTCTGTACATATATATGCTGTGATGGAAAAGCAGTTTCTGGGGTTGCTCCATGCATGAGGTAGTATGCTGTATGGCTTCTGAGTATACTGCCAGCTAGAGGACATTCTGTTGGCTGCAGTGTGAATGCCTGGTAATGTACTTACATACTAAGCGTGCGTAGGTACTAAGTACCTAGCATGCTTAAAAACGTTTTCTGTGGCCACAAATATATGCCTGTGGTATGGAAAATAGGACAGGCTAGCCTTAGAGGCAGCTTCCAGGACACTCATAGCAGACAGATTGTTAATATTCTCAGGAAGTATTTTATTGATCTCTATATTGGCTAATTCCTATAGGCTTCACAGAACTTTAAAATGAAGGTCAGTCTCTGCTACATATTTGTATACTCATTACATGCCATTATATATGCTGCTAAGCCTTGTATAAATATGGTTTCTTTTAATCAAAATGTTCAGATAGTTAATTTAAAATACTTTTTTTTATTAAAATACATACAATATTCTTTATAAAGTCATAATAGTTATTAAACTTACCTGTAGTAGGCTGACTCATGCTAGCTGTCTGAGTTTCGCCACTGTTTGGAAAGCAATGGAAATGTTTTTATGATAGGAAAATTAGAAGAGTTTGCATTATACTAATAGTCATCTAGTTATGTAATATAAAGATACTGGGTCAACATAATCTTTATTTCGTCCCATTAAAATATGTGTGCCAGTAAAAATGAGTGAATGTACAGTGTAATAAGATCAGCACTTTGCAGTATCTTACACATGCACAGCCTTTTTTGAAGTGCAGGTAAATCCCATTGCATAACCATCAGCAATTTCCTCCTATGTACTGAAGTATCTATACAATTGCTTTCAAAGAATTGGCCAACAGAGACACAATTTTGTATAGTAATACAAGGAAATTACAAGTATCACATCATATTTAAGTGAAAGCAGCAGCACTTTTCTTCTGTTTGAGAAACAGTGTAACCAAATAGTTTGAATTGTCATATATTTTAGAGCTACACATTCACAGTACAGTAAGAAGAGGTAAAAAGAATAGAAGTATTTTTCTTTGTATTAACGGCAAATGAAGGCAATATATGTTTACTGCTGATAAAGTAGCAGTCATTATATTTAATCCAAATATGACTGGATCAGCAAAAACATTAAAACCTCTTTCACTTTTCTAATTTTGCTCAACATTGCAGGAAACATCCCATAGCTGTCAGAAGATAAACTGCACTGACAGAAATCCAGAGTTGGAGGTTGGTGTGAATGCCTAATGACCTGCCACACCTGTGAAGGACCAAAAGCCAAGAAGTGCATAGGCACCAATTTCCCATTTGCAGCACTCCCCGCTAAACTCCTGGCTGTGGAGTGGAGAAAAATGCAGAAGTCAGAAACTGGTCCCCCACCTGCTGCCAGTAGCAGGGCTGCCCCTAAGCAGGGTATGTGCAGTGCTTCCTGCCAGCTCCAATCCCATCATGACTGAGCAAGATCTTAGCTTTAACCAAGGCTATTAGCGGTGATGCACCTATGTAGTGAAACCTAAATGAAGCAGCCTCTGAGGACACTGCCAAAGTCAACTGTTGCATAAAAAATAGCCCACATTTAACAGATTTCAAGGTTCCAGCTTCATCTATTTTGCTTAAGAAAAATAGTTGTGCGCACAAATTTCATTCTGCTGCTCAGTGTCTGACAGACATCTGCTGTTTCTCTAGGCTATTTACAGACAAAAACTGCAGCAACAACTGCAAGAATTTAGTTAATCTCATCGACCAAATCAAGCAACATACCCTGTCTCAAGATTGTAGGGTATCTGGCTAATACAAACAGTATCTTTTGACAACACAAAATTTTAACATCCTATCTGTCTTTTTTATCCTGAAAATGCAAAATTATTCCACAAGTCAGTGAGATGGGAGACACAGAAAATTAATCTAGTAAGCCAGGTTAAGCTAGGGATATGTGTCTTGAAAAAGAGTTTCAGACCTTCCAGGTCTGAAGGGAGTCTAGAAGACAGATGGAGAAAGACTATTTGCAAGGGGCATGGTTACAAATTGAAAAAGAGTAGGTTTAAATCAGATGTTCGAATAACATTCTTTACTGTGGGGGTGGTGGAGCACAAGTCTAATGAGGAAAGGCTGAGGGAGCTGGGCTTGTTCAACCTGGAGGAGAGGATGCTCAGGGGAGACCTTATCACTCTCTACAACTACCTGAAAGGAGGTTGCAGCCAGGTAGGTCTCAGTCTCTTCTCCCAGGCAACCAGCAGTAGGACAAGAGGGCACAGTCTTAAGCTGTGCCAGGAGAGGTTTAGGTTAGACATTAGAAAGAAGTTCTTTACAGAGAAAGTGATCAAGCATTGGAATGGGCTGCCCAGGGAGATGGTGGAGTCACCACCCCTGGAGGTATTTAAGAAGAGACTGGATGTGGCACTTAGTGCCATGGTCTAGTAGATGAGGTGGTGTTGGGTCATGGGTTGGACTCAATGATCTCAGAGGTCTTTTTCAACCTGGTTGATTCTGTGATTCTGTAAAAAAGGGTGTGATCATCACAATTTTTCGTCAGTAGATTAAATACTGTCTCCCAAAGACAATGTCATAATTTTCAAACTTCTTTGCTTTCTGCAAGTAAGACTTTTTTTCATAAATTATCATTTTTCTGCCTCTGTTTTCATGAGTCTATTCTGAAATACTTAAAATCTGACTTTGAAACATGCTTAGTGGTCACATGGTCCATAGCCCTATAGGTGAGTTAACAGCTCAACACTTATTAAAGACCAGGTACAGGAGCTATCCCACAGCTTGTCCCTGTGCTTCAAACTGCCGGTACACCCCTCTTCTTCAAGTATCTTGGTAACCTGAATGGTAAACAGGAGAAATAAGTGCTGCTTGCAGTCTGCAAAGAGATGTCCTGTCCCGTTTATATTTAGCCACCTAAGCAATGTGAAAGGAGCTGCTACAGTGGTTCTTTAAAGACACCTATTTCCAAGTCAGGATCACTGGCCCCCACTCCAGTCTCTAGGGTATTAGTTGGTTGAAGATTTGGGGACATCTTCAAAAATACAGTTGTGACTATAAGAGAGCAGATTTCCATTAGTAAGTAAACTCTTCTCTCAGTATTCAAGAAGATAACCAACTCCTCTTAAACACAGATAGCTTGTTAAATTACATGAGGAAATTTGAGCAAAAGGGTTGTGCTAAATGAGGGTAACATGAAAGAAAAATTATTACCTAAACACAAGATTCAATTAACATTAAATGTGCATAATATTAAAGAGCTGGAGGAAGTGTCAGGAAGAATATGTTTTCTATTAATTGGTTTTCTTTGCCTGACCACTTAGGCTCCAGCAAAATATGTTTACATTCTATCATGTTTAAACTTACTCTTTCTTCCAATATATAAGTAGGGGTCATGATGAATTTGTAGAAATTATTTTTCCCCCTCGTAGGTTTCTGTCCTGCATGGAATATTAGAAATGTTTGTCCTATTCACCTGCTGTATGGATAAAAATACCACTCAATGTTTGAAAACCGGAAGGCTGTTACAGGCAGCCGTCCTTCGGCATGTACTGTGCCATTTACAACAGGGATAGTATTGTGATAGCCATTTAATGAAGTCAGAGTAGTCACTCTGAAGATGACCTTGTTTGT